TTTACAAATTTAATATGAGAGCTTTTAAATTTTTCAAGAATAAGGCACTGCCACTTTCCATGGCTTGTAAACAAACATAAAATGTTCTCAGATTTGTTAAAGTGAAGCACCAAAGTATTAATCTTTACATACCTACCATCTTATCTGCGCATAGAAGGCATATACCACGCTTAAAAGGGCAACAACAATAATACATCGATTACTAATAAACCCATCGACCCTACATACACGAGAGAATTTCTCAAAATTATTTACATACAAACAACACAATTATCATGTGTTTACACATTAAACACCTAAAAATTCAAGGGTTTATGCAAAACCCCTTAAATCTTTAAACAAATATGGTCATTATTGTCTAGTTCTTATGCATGAGAGTATCAAACCAAAATATTCATATGAAAGTTTAGGTGTTAGATATGTAAACACAAAGGAATTGCATAGCATATATGTAAATGTTTAGCAAATCCTTCATGCCGAATCTTCTAACGCTGGAAACACACAGATATTGTTATTCCCACTGAATTTATTATCAAGCTACTTTATTTTTTGCATGTTACGAAGATACAGAGACTTTAGGTGGGGAAGAAGCTGCCCAAAAGGTGGCAGAGTTTCCCACGCCGAGCACCGTTAGACGGATGTGCTCCAGATTGGAGATCAAACTTGCATTGTACATCCATTTTGCATAGCTTATACCCTAGTATGAAACTACAGACGAACTCTTTAGGTTTTTGTATGGTTTAAGATTTTCGAGCACGTTCACATCTAAGTCAGAATTGACAAAGTTCCGTAGGCTTCCAACTCCCATGTCTGAGTTCCATTCATCAATAGTATTGCCCCAATTCAAGAATAAATATGTGAGTTTTCTCCTCTCAAGTAATTTTGTTGTGCTAGCCTCCCTAGCATCCTCCACATTTTTCAGAAAATTTATTTTTAATTCACGCACCCCGCTCATACGTTCCAACTCAACAATTCTATAACCATTCTCATTCTTAACATTAAACTCAATTAGTTCTTAAAGTGACCTTAATTTCCCAATTCCAGGTGCATTAGAAAATGCATTCAGGGGCAATTTCAAGTGACGCAAATTAGAAAGACTACTTTAAAAAATGCATTCAGGGGCAATTCCAAGTGACGCATATTTGAAAGATTACTCATATCGCCAGGCAAGAAATCATCAGAGCAATTATGAGCACATTAAACCCAAGGCATGAAAGTAGACTAAAACAAATAATTCATTCAAATGCTTGAAGAAAGATGAGGAAGAGGGTCACCTCTTGATGCAGATCCAAAACAAACTCAAGAACAAACCTAAGAAAAAAAATCAACAGCACTTCTCTTAAGAACTTTGATGCAAAAGCACAAGACTCATAACCCAAAAGCTTCGAGAATATAACAACGAATGCACACGACTGATAGAGATCCAACAATAACCAGCCAAAGATGCAACAACACTTTCTCCTCTCTTCTCCTCCCAAAATTTCAACAACCCCCAACCCTACCCTAGGTAGGGCTTTTATAAGCAGGGAAGAGAGAAAGAGCTGTACCTACTATGATGGAGTGGCCAAATGTGGTAACGAGAGAGGAAGAGGCACATTTAGGGAGGAGGAAATGCGGCCTTGAGAAGGAGAAAGGTCGAACAGGTAAAGCCTCTCGATTGTGAGGTTGCTCGGTCGGGCGGCTCACGAAGAAGAGTCGGGCCAGAAGGATCGAGAAGAGCTGTGAAAATAGACTAGCCAGGGTTCGGGCAAAAGAGTAAATTCGCGCAAATGGGGGGGGGGATGGCATTCCGTGCGAACCTGCTCGTGAGAGAGTGGGGGAGACGAAGGTGGCCCAACCGGGTAGCTAGGGCCGGGGGTGGGCTATCCGCGAGACAAAATTGTCTCGAAATGGGGGAAACCGGCTGGGAGTGTGAATTAGGTTAAGGATTTAGGAGGAATAATGAAATGCCTTCTTTATTATTATTAATTTTATAATATTTAATATTAAAATCTCCCAATTTGCGCACTTTTCACTTGTGTTTGAAATCATAGCAAAATGGATGACTCTCCTAGATAAAATCGACGTCCCGGACGCACTGATAGAACCCGTTTCGACATCCGGGGTTGTTCAGACAAGTGTACTGATTTGTGTGCAATTTGTTCGTGTGTGAAATTATAGCAACATGAGCGTACTTTTTAGCTAAAATCGACGTCCCGGACACACTGGCGCAATCCATTTCGTCATTCGAGGTCATCCGGACGAAGATCGGGTAAAAAAACATCAACTTCGATGTCTTCAAATTTCAGGTTCTTGATCGGTCATTTCAAAAATTGACTTGTGTTTCAATTAATTGTGAAGTTTTTACAGGTGTAGGTTTTTACAGGTGTAGGTGATGCTTACAGGTGTAGGTGATGCGAATTGTGGTATTTGTGTGTGCGAATGTACTAAAGTCATTATGGATGTCCTAAGGCTTTTAAATCCTATAGGAACTCCACTCGGGCCGTGACGTGTTGGTCCTCGCCACTCAACCCAGTGGCGATGATACATGATCTTAGCCACTCAACCGGGTGGTGATAGCTCAAAATCATAACCACTCGACCAAATGAGAATGTCTTGGGACCACCATTGTGAGGCTTCACAAAAGCGTTAAGAGATGGTTTGAGTTTCTAAATGGTGTGGGTCCCGACAATAGTCCTCTAAGATAGTCGATAGGAAAGTCCTATGGCTAGATCCTAGGCTCTATGAAGAGGAAGGAAAGACCTCACAAAAATGAGGTCAACAACCCCACATAACCGTCCACTAACTGTCTCGTCTCGCCCTAACTCCCGTGTCGCATTTTCTTTTTCTATTTTGAGTCATGATTGTAACACCATTGCCTTTTAGTAATAAAATATGCTTGTTCTATTGTGGTTTAAGTTAACATTGATATCACTTTCACAAGAGATGAGATGCACATTGTATGCTTGCATTTTAAGTAGTCCGAGCAGTTTGAGGATGTGGCGATGCGAGCTATCTTTTTATAGGTTATGAGAGAGGAGCCAATAATGGTGATGCTAGAAGACAATGTCATGGAATTTGAGGCACTGCGACCCTCACTAGAGTAACTTTCAGTTTATTCCTGGGTTGCCACTGTTTAGAGTGGTCCAACATGTCTAATTTTCTGACAGAGATGAAAATTTTTTGAGATACTCTTGTAAGACTATAACATAAGCTTGGTATTAAGTTTCAGTTTAGTTTAGTAACACACCCAAGGACAGAGGGTCAGATAGGAGTTATCGCAAATTTGGAAATCACTTTTGGTGCTTTGTGAGAGAGAACATCCTGCTGTGCGGAGAGTGATCGAGGTTACTCAGATACGAGCGCCTTGATGCTCAAAATTTTTGCAAAGAAATCAGTTAATCATGCAAATATGTGTCAATCAAGAAATATATGGATAAAGAGTTTGCGTATCGATCTTACGAGAATAGTCGTTAAAATGTTTCTAATAGGGGAAGTTCTAATGTACACCGTTGAATCTAGTTTGAAGTGTTCAAAGTGACATAAAAGTCCTAACAATCCAATAATTAGAAATGACAACTACAGAAAAGTTAGAGCAACTTTGAGTCTTTCAAAGGTGATGTGGCTCATGTTCCTATGATACTGATATATTGTTTTCTTTATGTTTTTCCTATTAGTTCCTTTATGTGATAGTTGACAACCAGGGACACAACCCTTCTCAGCTTATGTCTAGGTCAAAAGAAGAGTTGGATACTATATTACAGTTAAGAGACACTTAATTATGCAGCATTTCCCAGGATTTCTCGCATCTTCTATGTTGCAATTTTTTTCCAGCAATATGTCTATTCCATCAGGTTATTGTGTGTTTACCTATTTGTTTTTTGAGGTGACATAAATTTTATATTATAAGAGATTTTAACATTCTATCGGGTTTAATTTCAAAGTAAATTATAGCCAGAAAGTTAATACATCAACATATGAAATTTAAAGACAAAATATTTACGGGGAAAATTTCATGATAGAAACGAGCAAACCTTTATGCTTTACATCAATATAAGAAGATTGAGATGTGAATGTCAGGCAGCGCCGACTGATGATAACTGCTCGCGAATGTTGGATTGCCGGTACAACAACAACCCTAGTATTTTGGTGAAAAGATAGAATTCTAAATGTCGGAGACTGCACCTTTAAATAAGGAATTGATGTCCTTAGTAGTTATGATGGCTTTCTCTGGTAGCTGCCCTAGCGCAATGGGTTAGATTAATCTTCCAAGGAAAAAAAGTGATCGGATTGGTAGATGAGCTTTGCTCAACCATTTTGGTAGGTGTGCTTAGTTCAATAACTTCAGTAGATCGGCTCAGTTTAACCACTTCGGCAGATAAGCTCAGTTCAATTCAACTATCCGGTAGGTGTGTTCAATTTAATAAGAGAAGATTTCAGTGTAAACTTTTGTATACCGTGTTTGTGTATACATGCATATACATTTAATTCCGTCACAACCCTTTGCTACGTTAACATTTAATAAAATTTGATGAAATTAGTTTAAAGAGGAACTAATTAATTAACTATGCGTACTTTGAAAAATTAACCTATACTCCCATATGCCAAAAATATGGAAATAAAATATAGAATTTAATAAAAGTTTTCATGATTCTTTGGATGTGCAAAAAATCAGGTGTAAATTAAAAACACATTTTAATATTACATTTTGTCTTTTTTAGGCATTACATTACATTCTCCATTTTTTTTTTAAATTTTACAAGAGACCAACGAACAAAATTTGACAATGTAATGGACAGCTAGAAAAATTTGCATTGTCGATACTTCTTTAATTAAATGATAACCCAAATGTACCTGTTCATTGATATTGCTTATCTCTTTTATTTTACTGAACCCCACCTAGTTAACTTTATCATGGAAATGTCATTCTCGTGGATTTATTTTGACCTATTATATAATTTTTCTTATTTTCTGAATAGTTAATTTTTTTTAATGATTTTATGATTTTCATTCTTATACAGCCACTTAGGACCAGGAGTCAGCTGTTTACAAAGGTAATAACCTGGAGCTTGTGTATCTTTCCATTATTTACAAAGCATTTTCTTATAAATTGATTCTTGAAATATATATTTTTTTAATACATGTTGCTGAGTTCTAAAGCTCATAATCTACTCTGAAATCGAATAATAGTAGATGTAATGTCAATGAACCACATGGAAGTTTAGAATAATCGCTGTATTGTAAAAAAATAAAAAATTGTTTGGCTTATTATTATACAAATCTGCATAACAACAATAACAATAAGCCTTTACCCCCACTAAATGGGGTCAGCTACATGAATCCTTTCTCCATTGCGTTCTATTGAGAGTCACATTTTCATTTATTTCTAACAGATTAAGATCATTTTTTATACATTATGTCCGAGTCTTTTTAGGTCTAACTTTGCTTTTATTAACATAAGTCGAATCTAAAACATTTACTCTCTTAACCAAATCATCAAATGATCGACGTTTAATGTGACCACATCATCAAAGACGACTCTCTCTAATCTTGTCCGTCACTGGAGTTACACCAATCCTATCACGAGTGTATTCATTTTGCATTTTGTCTTCAAATGTAAAGCCACTCATCCACCTAAGCATTCTCATTTCTGCAACACTTAACTTTGTTTTATGCTTCTCTTTTAAAGATCGACATTCTATGCCATAGAACATTGCATGTCTCTCCCCATCTTATAAAATTTTCCTTGCAGTCTAAACGGTACTTTTCTATCAGACAAAAGACGTATTCCTCCACTTCAACCAACCAACTTGAATTCTACTAAAAACATCCCATTAACATCACCATCACTTTGAACAATAAACCCGAGCTATCTAAAATGTTCACACCTTTTAATGATTTGATCACCTATAGTTACAACTCTGCCACTAGAGCTACTAATACTAAAATTTTAGTCCACATATTCAGTTTTAGATCTACTCAAACGAAGGTTTTTACACTCCAATACAAGCCTCCATAATTCATGTTTTTTTGAACTCTTTCTCTGGTCTTATCTTCAAGAAGTATATCATCAGCGAACATTTTAAATATTGCATATCATGTGATAAATTATTAGAGTTGTGGTTGTGGGATTTTGATAAGTGAAACATAATAAACATAAGAAGTTTCTACTGTTTTAAATTTCAGACTGATGAATATTTGCATCCGTTAAGTGCTTACAACTGAAATTTATTGGTAGCAAATGACAAGAAAGGTATGAATTTTCTTAATTCCTGTCATTTTTTATGTAGTGTGAACTCACACTGTTTTATAGGAACGAGTAGAAACTTTTTATATTTGACTGATTTTTTTCATGCATATCAGTGCTAAATTTTGATAAAATATTGGATGAATTTGTAATTTTGTATTGAAAGCTATTTCTGTTCTATATATCAGTGTTATGCATCTGGAGTAGTAGCTGTTGTGACTGACAATATGCTCAATTAGCAACCATAGACAATCATAAACTGATTCAAATCGCATGACATGGATAGATTCATGTTATATCCATTCATCATGTATGCATTTACTAAAAATTGGGTTAAATTATCTTCTTGAATATTGCAGCCATACATTTTAGGAAAACAGAGTTATTTGACTTCGCATCTCTTATGACTTCACTATATATACTAATAATAAACAATATTTTAAGGGGGTGCAGTTTAATTGCTACGTGGCAAGGCGTAAGCCACAATGCATCGGGTGCAAGCCCTGCGGTGTAAAAGAAATATAAGATATAAATATTAAGAGATAAAAATAAAAACTTTTACTCATTCAATTTCAAAATAAGTCTTCTAGGACTAAAATTTTTAAGATATTGACATAATTCCACTACAAAAAAGTACAAAAAACAACAAAGCCTTAATCCCTTTACGTGTACATGAATCCTTTTTCTCCATTGCGTCCTATTAAGTGTCATATTATCATTTAGTTCTAATCAATTAAGATCATTTTTTTATACAATAAGCCCAAGTTTTCCTAGGTCTACCTTTGCCTTTGTTAACATGAGTCAAATTTAAAACATTTACACTCCTAATCGGATCATCAGATGGTCGACGTTTAACGTGACCAAACCATCCAAGTCTTCCTAGGTCACCACAAAAAAGTACAAACATATAAAAATAAGTAAACATATTTGAGCAAAAAAATAAACTAGTTGATCTCAATTCTTGAATATTATTCATTCTTCAAGTTCATTGTTCACTTCATTAAAGTCATCATTATTCTCAGTCTAGATGCATTTATAATTTGTTTCTTCTTATCATTGTTAAAAAAACAAAAACAAAATGACATTCGTAAATATTTAAGATTTTTTTCTATAAGAATACATAATTATGTAAATGACAATTAAAAGTAAATATGAAACTTGTTTTATCATTCAACTTTTTTTTTTGATCATATGTTATAAAAACATCTTTTCTTCTTTGTGTAAGATTTTGTAATTCTTTATTTGTATTATTTATTGACATTTTTTTTATTACATCAACATCATATACATGTTCTTCATTCACCTAAGAAGTTTCTTGTGGAAGCACCATATTTTTTTTCCTCAATAATCAGCTCATTATCAGATTATATCATTTACTAATATTGGGTTAATGTCTTGTTTTCTTCTTATACTTTTGGTACTGGAGTTAACTGAAAACTATAATAGAAATGCAAATATTATTGTGGAAAAACTTTGAAGGTCTAAAACAAAGGCTCTTAAAATAACCATAAAACAACAACAAGCACCAACAACCCTTAAGGAGAGGACAGGAAGGCAGTACGCGGTGGTTCAGCTATGGTTAGGTTGGCTGGTTGGGGAGTGTCAACCAACAGTCGAGGATGGAGGGTTTCAATTGCAAAGGGAAGGTTAGTGGACTGTGGTAGCAAGCAGTGAGGTGCTAAGGGTTTGCAACAACAAGGAGACAGAGTTATGGGAATTGTGACAACAAGCAGGTGAAGGGGACTTGGTGACCGACTAGAGGGGCGGCAGGCTGGAAGCAGGCTACGGTAAGCCTTTGGCTCCATCTTTGAAGATGATAATGTTAACATCATTAATTTCATGTGTTAGGCGATGGAGCTGTGTAGTTGGAGGGACAACTCATACCATTTCCAGGCTCTCTCGTTTATTACCTCTTTTAGACAAGGTCTTTTTCATTTTGTTCATGGGGAGATTAATCGGGCTGCCCATTTTTGTGTCCAAAAGACCCTTTCACAGTTTTACTTGGGATATGCTTCACAAATCATTAGATATTTTTGTTATCCTTTGCGATTATAGGGCCTCTTTTGCACAGGTCTTAGGATCTTTTTTTGTACTATTTTGTACTTCTTTTTATGTTTAATGCAAAATGCACACCCTTCACGGATAGAGAGAAAGATGTCACGGTTATTAACTACTTCCGGGATAGCATGAAGGAAAAGGTATGGTAACAACAAATTGAAAGTGGACCTGACATATCTTTTATTTTTGAGTTTAAACAAATTTTTTCTTTATTTCCCATAGAGAATATGACAATGCGGTCCATTTTTATTCTCATATCGCTTTAGATAGGTCTTCTGTTTTGAGTGTGGAGGCTGAAGCCAACCACATTAGTTCTTGTGTGTAGCTTTTATATTTTTTGGTCCTTTGTAACCTTTTTTTCATTTTTTCATGCAAAATACATACCCTTCAAAGATAGAGGGACAAATGAATGGAGGGAGGCTAGCAGCTGGATGGGGAAGTTGGCGGCTGGAGCATAGGGGTGCAGGGCATAGGTGGCAAGTAAGGAATAGACTGGAGGTTGGTGGCAGGGAGTAGAGAGGTGAGGGAGATGTTGGCGACAACAAGGAGAAGGGGCAACAAATAGGGAATAGCGGAGATAATCATCATTTTGGAGTATGATACAACCGGAGCACTAATTGTCCTCGGATACAATCCTAAAAGGAAAATAACCCCCATCATCAAGTTTGACCATAAATCTCAAAACACAATAATGCCCTAGAACAAGTAGAAATAACATATAAATAGACTAGGTAAATTAGGAGGGGCCCCACCCACTTGGGCGGCAACCTCAAACCCTTGAAGGACCAGCCGACCCTCCTAGCCTTACCCTAAATCGGTTGAACAGGTTCAGGTGGATAATCCTGCGTTAATCTCTCGGGGTTGGGAGAGCTTCAACCTCATTTGTTGAAGCTTCTGTTTACCTGTTGCTGGTGATGTAGCTGTTGTGACCTCCCAGGGCTGATGACTCTTTTATGGCGACCCTGAAAGCTCGTGGATCCCACTAATGATTGCCTTGGCCCCCAAAACACTATAGTTTTCTCCACTAGCAGGCATACATCCATATCAATCCAACATTCCGTGGGTACGCTATTAAACTAAACCGTGACTTCGTTTCCCATCATCTGTTGAATACTCCTAATGTAATTCAAGGTTGACTCAACCTGAGCTGGAGTGAGAGTAACCTGAACCTCCTCAAACTATAGTGGCCATGGTGGTACAGTATAAATTATGATGTCTTGAAATGCTCTGTCATGATTGTCTCATGTCTGAAATCAGCGTTTCAGTCTTATCATACTTTGTCGTCACCAATATTGGTCCCACTAACGATGCTATGTTGGCAAGGGTTCCTGTGATCTTGGGTTCCACAAAAGGAAGAAGGACAATACACTTCCTCTCCTTGGTGAAAGAGTAGGTGTTTCTGAACTCGTGGCGCTAAGTCTTACGGTCAAATTGCCACGGTCTCCCCAAGGGCACTACGTCGCACCACACCTGAATCTGTAATTGGCTTCCAGCCAAAAACTCTACTAGGCACCTCTAGTCAATGCTGACGCTATTCTACTTTTGCATCCACTTCAGGAATACGACGGGAAATGCCTTTGAGTGATCAATCCCAAATTCTCCTCCATTTGCATATGCCATATTCTTGCTGCTCCCTTCATCTATATTGAAACTACATGGTTCTGGAGTTAACCCAAACCAGAATAAGAATAAAAGTATTATTGCTCAAATTCAAATAGGTTATGATGATGACTCTTTAAACAGGAAATAAACAATAACAAACATAAAAGGACACCCTAGGGAAACTATGAAGGGGAGGGTGCCAGCTAATGAGCAGATGGATATGCTGGTCGGAGGCTTGCTATATGTTGGCTGGTGGGCTGGTGTTAGCTTGAAGGGCAGGAGAGGGCACGACTATGGTAGGGAAAAAGACGGTAGAGGTAGGCAGCTGTAGTAGAATGCAGGTAGGACATGTGGGGGCTGTAAGGAGTACATGAATGGAAGCAAGTTGTTATAGAAATAGGGTAGGGAATATGTGGTTGTGGTTGAACAACAACACAACCTGAGAGGAAGGTCTTCTGCAGTGCGGGTGGAGCAGAGAGTTGTGTGGAAGGCAGTGAGCGGTTGAAAGATGGTTGGAGTTGGCAGTTGGAAGCAGAAAGGTGCAGGGAAATGAACCTAACGGTAAGGCTATGGCTTGGAGCTGGCGACTGGAAGAAGAAAGGTAAAGCAAAAGAAGCGGGCAACAAGGAAAATATAAAGTGGTAGCAGGGAGAGGGGAAACAACAGGGATAATCACCATCACGAATGAGTTACAATCGGAACATCTTCTTGCCATCAGATACAACCCTTGGAAGGGAGAAACGCCTTAAAGGCAACAAAGTGAAATAAGAGACAATTAAAACTAAACCCTAAACAACAAACAACAAATGTATAATAAGATAGGTGGGAAATTATAGGGGAAAGGGCGCGCCAAAGTCTTCCTCCCAAAACAATCGGCCGATCTGGCCTCCCTGCATGACAGGACTCTCCTAGCTGGATTGGTTCAACAATAGGCCTTGCGTCAATCTCCTGGGATTAGGCAAGCTTCAAAATCATTCATTGGAGCTTTTGGTTCTTTGTCTGCGATTCTAGTAGCTCTTGGATCCCAGTGTCAGTTGTACTATCTCTCGAAGAACCTAAGGATTTTCCTCCACTTGCGAGCATACATCGATATCGATCCACTCTCATGGTGTTCCATTACAGAACTGAATTGAGTATGCACGTCTCGCCTATGCTGCTCAATATCCCCAAACTAATCCACTGTCGACTCAACCTGATCTGAAGTGTGGGTAGCTTGAACCACTTCTGAAAATGGTAGCCATGGTAGTAAGATATCGACCATGATATCTTGAAATGTTCTCTATCTTTGATTGTTCAGTGTCTGGAGCCTGTGCCTCATTCTTATCATTCTCTGTCATCACCAAAATTAGTCCCACCATTGTTGCTCTGTTGGCAAGGATATTTGTGATCTCAGGCTTCGCCGAAAGGAGAATAACGATGCGCTTCCCATCTTTAGTGTAGGCGTAGGTATTTTTGAATCCATTGTGCTGAGTTCTATGGTCAAACTACCATAGTTTCTCCAACAATAGGTGATTGACATCCATGGGTACCACTTCACACCATAAATGATTCTGCAATTGGCTTCCGATTGAAAACTCCACTAGGCAAGTTCGATCAATGCTGTCCTTGTTTTCCTTCTTGAGCCACACAAAGAATACGACTGAGAGTGACTTGGTCATGAGTAGGGCTGTCAAAAAAGCTCGTTGTTCGCGAACAGTTTGTGTTTGGTTCGTCAATGAGTTCAAGTTCGATTCATTCGACAAGTAAATAAGATGAACATGAATAAATTTTTTTTGTTGGGTTTGTTAAACGAACTAAACGCGAACAGTGATGCGTTCGTTCGTGTTCGAATCGTTATTGTTCGAAATATAAAATAATTTAAAATAATTATATCTAAAAAATTATGATATTTTAAAAAATTAAATTTTATAAATTATAATATATAACAAATTAATAATAATAATAATATATTAATATACTATATTAGTAATATACTAATTTAGATGTTATATATTTATATAATATATGTTATATAATTAATATAATACATTATTTATGTATATTAATAATATGGATGTTAAATTGGCTCGTCATTCGTGAACAACTCGTGTACGGCTCATTCGTTAAGAAATGAATACAAACATGACTTCACAAACAATTTTGAACACGGGCTTATTTCAAACAAACTAAATTTCAAACGAACCGAACACGAACTCAAACGCTGTTCGTTTGTGTTCGGTTCGTTTACACCCTAGTCGTGAGACCCAATTTCTCTACCATCCGTGTAGGTGTCACACTCTTGCTGCTTCCTCCATCGATGATGAGACTGCATACCTTCCCTTTCACAATGTAACGTGTGTAGAATTTGTTTTGAAGAAGGCACTGTGGATCTTTCATATCTTCAATCAGTAGGACCCGTCAAACTACGAGCGACTCTCCATCATGTGGAAGTTGACAAATCTCACTCTATTGTCCAAAACAGCTGGTGGGTCCAGCCTTCTTGCTGGACCAGACTCTCCTAGCTGAACCGGGGCCTCCTAGATAAACCTGGGTCGGCCGGTTCACCTTTGCTTCACTACTTACCTTTTCATTCACAATGCGATGAGTGTAGTATATGTTGTGGCGAAACCGCTATGGATCCCTCGTATTTTTATTTTGTAGGACCCGTCGAACCGCGAGCATCTCATCCTCATCTAGTGGAAGATGGTAAACCTCACTCTATTCTTTAGCTATTTCTTCATCACTAATCACCTTCACTGCACCCTGCTCGTTAAAGGCACAACTAGGCTCGTTGAGCAACTGGAGGCGATATGCTCAAATTGATGGCATCTAAAGCATTTTTAGGCTAGGATTGTAGTAGGCTTGCTATGTTTCTCGGGCTTCTCACTTTGAGTGGTTCTGTCTTTATCCTGACCAATCATCCTGACCAATTTTCTCATCTCCCTTAGGTGTGCTCCTTCTAATGTCTCCAAGTGTGGATGTTTATTTGAATTGTGATGGTTGCCAGCTTTGTTTCTGCTGTCCTCCACCTTCAGGGATATGGTCCATACATCTCCCAGTGACCAATAAGGCCACGAATGCACAACGTTTTCGATAGCGTGATATTTGGTTATTTAATATTCCTATAACTCAATCAACCCACACTTTATCTGAAACTGATCAAACTGTGCCATGAAATCCTCCACTAATAGGTATCTGCTGTAGGTGGCAAAGTCTCAGAAATATATCGTGACAATAATGAGGAGATTAGTATTTTCTCCGCATCTTCTTCCTCATCATCTTCCATTTAGTAATCTTGTCACTGTCTTTTCTTTTACTCTGCTTTAACAAGTTTTCCCACCACAAGGAGACACTCCTCAATTTGATCGCTGCAAGTTTCACCCTCTTATCTTTTGGCACCTCTTTGTACTCGAAGATCCGCTGGATTGATTGTAGCCATTCGATAAAGTCATTTGGCGCCATACTTTCATCAAACTTTGGTAGATTCAATTTGATGACAAAATCTTTTTGTCCTCCATATGTAGCCTTTTCTCTCGGCCTCCTTTGATACTAAATTCTAAAGCATCAGGGTCTGTCTTTTTCATCACTGAAGTCATCCCTATGGAAGAGATTCGGATGCTCGTCCCTTACTCCCATCCGGTTCTCTATATGATGAAGCTCTCGCTGTATTTATTCCCAAGTAGGCTCGGGCCTGTATCTTCTTGGTTGCATGGTTAAGGTTTGTGATTTGTGGGAGTGGAAAGGGTATTTGGTGGTAGGAAATTTTTTTTGGTGGAGATGGGTTGGATATAATGGATGCTAGGAAACCATAGATAGGATAAGGTAGGGTTATGCTAGCTCTGATACCAATTGATATCAGAGTTAACCCAAATCACAATAAAAACACAAATACTATTGCTGAAATTTTGAATGGTTACAACAAAGACACTTAAAATAAGAATAAAATGACTACAAACACCAACAACCCTAAGGATGAGGATGGGGAGGTGGTGGGCTGTGGCTGCACGTTGGTTGGGTTGCTGGTTAGGGAGCGGCAGCCAACAGTGGAGGAATGAAAGATTTACGATAGCAAAGGGATGGTCAGGGGATTGTGGCAACAAGCAGGGAAATGGGCAGGGGTTGTTGCAGCAAGGAGTCAGGGTTTTTTTTTGGGTGGCCTTCTAATTTACCTGGAATATTTATATGTTATATCTACTTGGTCTAGAGTATTGTTTTATTTTGAGATTTCTGGTCCAGCTTGCTGGTGGGCTGTGGCTGTATAATTTTAACACCTCAACTATTGCTCAATTAGAATAAATGAAAATTGTTGATTTATGAAGTAGACCCCAAATTATTGGGACAGCGTTAAAAATAATGATTATTTTTGTTTTTGAGATTCTATTTTAATTTTTGATAGGTGAAAGTATGATTGCATAATGTTCCTCGATTTTATCCTTTTGAACTGTTTTAATCTTATAGTGATAATATCTATTTTCTTAAGAATGGGTTCATCAGCACTGTATCTGCTATCTATTTTTTTTCTTGATGTTGCAGTTCATCAGAGTGATCTACTTCCAACTAAAGCATGGTTTTCACAGGGAGCAGAAGGGCAACATTGTTGATAAGGGACCATCCCTATTCCTGGATGACGATTGGTTCTCCAAGGATATTTTTCTATACCGCCTCTGCAAGGTATTTATTTATTATTATTGCATTTAAAATTCTTCAAATAAGTTCAAGAATTACATCAATTCTTGGTCACTTTAGTCTGTTGCTTTTATGGGTTGGCTTGCTGTTCAGCAAGTCGATCAAAAAGTAAACAGATGTTTACATACAACTCAATTCTTATGTATTTACATTTCTAAAATCTAAACTTCAATTTTTACGTAGGCCACCTTACCTATCCATGAAAGGTATAATTCACTTTTAGAAGTAAAAATATTGATATTTTTGATGTGATATGAAAGATTTAGGTGGTATAAATGTAGAAAGTGAAAAAAGTGAAATTTAGGTGTTAGATATGTAAATACATAGGAGAAATTGGGAGCTATGTATGTAAACGCCCCAAAAGTAAATTATTGATAATTTTGTCATTCCTGATGAGAATCCACCATGTTCACGTGCATACAGACGGACCTGCTTTTTATGTCAGTTTGAAGATGGTATTAAATTATGTGTCAATATGGAATAATATTTTAACATAGAATTTGAATTATTGCTTGGCCAAGCTGGTTTATGCTTTTTAACTACTGTGGCTTTCTATGGAAAAAAATGTTGAATATTTTCTCAACTGATAATTCCCATGAAAGAATTGTCTTCAGAGCATATGAGCCCGAAGTTAAATCGCTAAGATAGGGTTCGTTTGTGCTTTTCCGTTTCATAAGATAGACTAAGAAATTTCTATCAAGAAGTTTAGGCTCAGTGAATCTTTTACGTTTCATAAGAAGTCCACCGCATTCCCCGTCACTGCCGCCGACATTCCCCCTCGATGTACCCGCCCGAAAACAGTCATTTTTGGCTGTTTTATGATGTTCCAGCTGTCCCATTATCTGTTTCTCTCATTCCAGCTTGCTGTCATTGTTGCAACTCCTCTCCTTCGCTGCTGCCATGCTCCCTTGCTGCCACAACCCAGTACAGTGCTTCCTAGCCGTTTCCCTGCTGTACAACCCCCTCTTTCTTGCTATCACGTCCCAGGATAGCAACTGTACTTGTTGTTCCTGCAGCTTCACAACTTTCCCTCACAGTTACCGACACACCTTTGCTGCAGCCATGCCTTCAGCCTTTTACCCACTCTTTGCTAGCTCCCGGAAATGAAAAAATATTGAAAAGGATGAGAATTTGGGAGGAAATCTATTGGAATTAGAAAAGAAGAAATTAGTGAAAAGGTTTCTCGATGGTCATACAAATTAATCGAGAATTTGGGAGAAGAGCAAGTTGGAAATGAGAAGATTTGGAGGAAGAATATTATGAGATAAGAAGAGCCAAACGTATGATAATTTATAACGATAATGATCAGAATACCAATTCTCTTTCTAGTATTCAAAATACTAGTAGCAATGATAAAAAGGATGATCAAATGGAAGAGGAAGAGGTAGCTTTGATACATCACTCACAACAACCAGATTTTCGTCGCAATCTAATCAAAGGATCCATGCACTCTGAAAGACGTAAGCTCTTCACCCACTCTTTGCTACCTAGCCGGAGGACCAACTGCTCGCCAATCACCACCACTACCTCAAGATCTACCCTAGTTTGAGTTTATTGTGTCATATCTGTTGCTATTTCTATTTTTGTTTGTGAGATTGTATTTCCCTATTTTTAATTCAACGATAATATTTGATTTTTCTATTGTTGTTTGGGTTAGCTTTAGTATCGTAGGAGCTGCGTTGCCATGAACAAGCTCTAGTAGTTGAGTTAACATATATGTTCAATGGTTCTACAATTGCAAGGATTGAAACAATTGATTGTTTAACAAGCTTAAGTGACAAATATAGAACCCTAATCATAAACCTATGGTCACACTCATCAAGTGTCAGTACCTGGGTTGACGTAAATATGTGACGGTCTAACAAACCTAAGAGTCAGGATAAGGACCTTTTCATATCTTAAATTTCAATTCAAACTGTCAAACAATAAAGTTTTCACATAATGCATGTACTTTAATTTAGAGTTATGATTCTACTAGAAGGGGTGCAATGAATCTATTGTGTCATAACAACACACCATACTCATTTAAGGGGCAATTTGTTGCACAAAAAAAAAAAAAAAAAAATAAAATAATTAAAAAAATCATAATATTGCACATATACACACATAGAACTCTTCCAATCATGATTGCCATGTGTTAGGCTATGATCCGTCGATCTTTGGTGTTGGTTAAATCATAGGCCCCAACTTGTCAATTTTTGGTTTGATAAGTTATAAAGAACTCCCCTAATATCGGAGTTAACCCAAATGACAATGGTAAGATAAATATTATTACTGAAAAACAAATAGAATATTACAACAAGATACTGAAATAGAAATAATAAGTACGACACAAGTGGGCGATTACAACAAGTAGGGGCTTCTGGAGGGCTATTTTAGGGTGGCAACGAGTGTAGGGTGGTTGGGAGATAGAAATTACCGGAAGGAACAACCAGAGTAGTAGTTTTCGGTGGCTACAGTGAGGAGGGAGGTGTGGCAGCGAAGCGAGAGAGAAGTGGAAGGGTTGGGGAAGGATAAATTACCACCCCGAGAGCGAGATATAATCGGAGCACCACACGACCTAGGATAAAACCTAGAAAAGAACGCAAAAACATAGGCCATTATCCCTAACAAAACACACCAAAAACCCTTCCAAACCTTAATAGAACACATATATTTTGGAAAAGACTATAAAGAAAGGAAAGAAACATCGAACATGCTGAAAAATGGAAAGAAACCAAAAGAACAGTCGTTCAATTCGGCTCTGCCCGTTTGTCCGAACCTCACGTTCATGGAATAGTGAAACCTTTGACTCCTGTGTTCACCTATTTGAGTCTTGCGTCCGGATTTGTGTTAGTTTCGATCTCATATGCAGAAGCTTTTTTCTCCTCATAGTAGTTACGTTGGCCCCATTGAAGGTAGCGAAAAAGTTACAATCTCCCGGTAAGTTAATCCTGTAGGTGTTGTCATTCAAAAGTACATCCTAATAAAATAAATATCAATTCTCTTTTATCACAACCTGAGCTGGAGCTGCATATACGTGTAGATTTTGTCTGATGGGACGTCTCGCTACTCAAAGACATGTTCTTTTTAATGTAGCCACTCGATGAACTTGTTTGGATCCATGTAGTCGTCAAAATATGACAAGTCACCAAGTCAAATCTTTGGGTATTGGTTCTTCATCAGTAGAAACTGCCATGTGGAAGGGGTTCAGTTCATTCTTTCGATCCAATGAATCATCGTTGTGGTTACTGGTGACCCTTCCAGATTGTCTCCTCTCGAGAACAAGTTTTTGTTGCAATTGAAAGATTTCCCTAGAAAGTCTAGAACATCTCTTTGCATATTTCTCATAAACAAGAATGTGTAATTTCCTCCCAATTAGGTTTATGATAATTATATCTTCGGTGGCGTGGTTAGGGTTTGGGCAGGTGGAAGTGGGTGTTTAAGGTGTTGTATGTTGTGAATGACATTGTGGGCGGTTAGTTTGGAATATTCAGGAAGGGTGTGGGGTATTTCAGTAACCTCAGAATATGACTAGGGTTTAACTAGCTCTGATACCATATGATACTAGAGTTAACCTAAACAACAATAGAAAAACAAATATTATTATTGGAAAAATAAATAGGAGATTACAACTAGACATTATGAAATAGGAAATAATAACAAGTACAACACACAACTCAAACTGGGGTTTGATCCCTGAATGGTGGTGGTCGGCTAGGTGGACTGGAAAGGGTGATAGGTGGTTGGATGGATGGATTGGTGTTGGGGGGGTTGGGGGCGATAACAAAAAGTTGGGGCTTCTAGAGGGCTATTTTTTGGGTGGCAGCGAGTGTAGAGCAGCCAGAAGATAGAAACTTTAGGAAGGAACAATCAAGACAATGGTTTCGGGCGGCAGCAGTGAGGAGGAAGGTGTGATAGTGTAGCGGGAGGAATGAGGAAGGGTTGGGGAAGGATAAATCATCACCTCGGGAGCGAGATATAGTCAGAATATCACTCGATCCTTAGGTTTAACTCTAGAAGGAAACAAAGAGATGTCAGCGGCTACTCCAAACAAAACACACCAAAAACTCTTTCCGAACACTAATACAACACATATATAGGAAATGACTAGAAATAAATGAAAGATGAAGGAAAACGTTTTAAAAATTGGAAAGAAATCAAAAGAACAGTCATTCGGTTCAACTCAGGCTATTCGCATGAACCTCGTAGTCCCGCGTTTGCGTATTTGATGCTCGCATCATTTCTTCAAATATCAATTTTTGATCTAGCATAAGGTATCTCTTCCTTAATTGATCTTTAATCTGATCATGAGTAATTGTCTTTTTTTTTTCATTCATTACATATAAGCGAGCATTCAATAATGGCATCCCCAAATCTTTATTGGATGATTGTCATCATAATTGTTGAACACTTATAAGTTCTCACGTACATTTGATTTGTTGCTCCTATTAGTGGAACAGAGCTACATGGTCTTGTAATTCTCTTATATGTTGGCAAGAAAGATAAAAAAAATAAAAAAATAAATAAAGTAATAAATTTTATAAAATGCTTAAAGCAATGCAAAAGAACTATTAAAGAGCCTTCAACCTTTTGTTTGATTGAGTAGACAATCTATGGCCCGAAAGGTTTTTGAAGAACGCCATTTATTTTTTATTTTTGGTCAAACATTATGCCTGCTTCTCTTCATTGTTCTTTGATATGGAAATAATTACTTTTAGTCATCAACAATTTCAAAAGAGCAAAAATTCAGATGTGACTTTTAAATAACTTTTGGATGACTATCGTTTTAAGTGTCAAGAAATTCTAAGTTTGTCAATACATTTCTTTGGCTGCTTAGTGAAGAAGAATTGAATGCCACTATTATTCTTTTAACCTCTACCGAGAAAGTTAAAACCACCACCACAACAAAAATAACAACAACAACAAACCCTTATCCCACTAAATCAGGCCGACTACATGAATCCTTTTTCTCCATTGTGTCCTATTGAGTGACATTTTTTCAT